AAATCCCATGTTGGAAGAAAATCTCAAAGGCTGAATTTTGCTCTCTTCTGTCAAATGCTTTTTTGTAATCAAGAAATAGTAGATATAATTGAATCTTATATTCTCTTACCTTCTCAGTTAATTATGTGACTTTAAAGGTATTTAATATAAAAAATTATCTATGAAAGTTTGCTTCCCCCCCCCTCTCTTTCTCTCTTCTTATCTCTTGCTGAGTCTCCCTAGCCTAAAAGTGCATTGGCCATTCGTGGGCCCAATCCCACAGCTGATGGGCAAGGAAGTTCTTTAGGCAGCCTGGTGGACTTCCATTCCCAGGAGCTTCTCATATTGGTACTAGACTAAGTAAGGACACTCAAACTTCAGCCTTCTTACAGCTCAGAACTCCCTTGGTCAAGCAATCCACCAAGCTCAGACTCCCCAGTAGTAGGGACTACACAGCTGTGCCACTAACTGGCACACCTATTTCCTTTTGCCATTTTAATCAAGGATACCCTCAATGCATGCATAAATTATTAAAGATTTTATAGAAACAAACAAGTAGGCATGTGAGTCAGCATATCAGTTATGAAAATAATGCTCATCCCCTGAAGCCCTACTCCATTGTCTCTTTGCATAATGGATGTCTTTATCAGCAGAGATCGAGGTCTGGAAGGACTTATCAAGCCAGAAATGCTTCATGTATGGGCCTTTTGATGGATGGTGAGCCTGTCATCTAAGAATCATCCTCGCTGAGGCTCAGAGAGGCTCACTACCAGAAGCGTGCCTAATAGGTGATTTTTTTTTCCCAAAAGCAACTCATGAAGATGTGTTATAAATGGCAACAGCAGACAGAGTCAGAGGAAGAAGTATCTACACTAAAGAAACTTCAGTGAAGTGACCATAGACTTTAATCTCTCTGGACTCCAGCTTCCTCATCTTGAGAAAGAAGATGATCTCCAAGGTCCATTATAACTCTGAAATTACATGATGCCATGAGTCTAATTCAGCTAAAATATAGTTTAATAGCACAACTACAGATCATTTAATCCTTTCAGTAAAGAACTATATCTTCACCATCGGTGATCGCAGGGTCACAGAAGCCAGAGGAGTGAACTTCTAATGTTCCTCAAAGGCCAGAGCTTTAAGATTTGCTCAATTCTCCAATGACTCTTTTGAGCAAATATTTATTCTATAGCCATAAGTGGAAGCTGATGCTAGTGTCCATTTCACTCCCAGTTCTTTGAGTACTAACCAGAAATATATTGTTGTTGTTGTTCAGTTGTTTTTGTAACATCCCATTCTTTGTGACCCCATTTGGGGTTTTCATGGCAAAGATACTGGAGTGGTTTGTCATTTCCTTCTCCAGCTCATTTTGCAGATGAGGAAACTGAGGCAAACAGGCTTAAGTGACTTGCCCAGGGTCTTACAAGTAGTAAGTGTCTGAGGCTGGGTTTGAACTCATGAAGAGGAGTCTTCTTGACTCCAGGCCTAGCATTCTATCCACTGCACACCTAGCTGCTCCATGAAAACACAAATACTATTGGATTTGAGAATTCTAGTAAATTTCTTGCCCTCAGGATATAGAATTGAAACCATATGAAACTAGGACCAATTCTTTACAAATTATTCTCAAAAATTGAGAAAGAATGCACCCTACAAGAATCCTCTTATGAAAGAAATATAGTCCTAATACCTAAGACAGGGAAAGCTAAAATACAGAAAGAAAACTATAGGCCAATATCATTAATGAATATTGACTCAAAATTTTTAGACAATCCTGTCAAATAGGCCACAATAATTTATCCACGAAATCATTCATTATGACCAAGTGGGAATTATACCAGGGCTGCAAATGTGGTTTAACACTGGGGAAACAATCAACAAACAATCAAAACAAAAACCAAAATATTGTCTCAATAGATATAGAAAAAACTTTCGACAAAGTGCATCTCTTTTTCTACTAAAAGATCCTACAAAATAAAGGTAAAGAGCGACTTTTTTAATATAATAAAAGAATCTATCTAAAACCTAAAGCAAGCATAATATATAATAGGTATACACTAGAACACTTCCCAATAAGTGTGGAAGTGAAGCAAGGATGTCCACTCTCTCCACTATTATTTGATATAGTTCTGGAAATGCTAGCAACAGTAATGACAAGAGAAAGAAAATGAAGATATAGATAGGTAAAAAGGAGATAAAATGATCCCTATTTGCTAATTATATGATAGTATACTTGGAAAATCCTAAGGAATCAGTGAAAATAATGATTGAGGCAATTAATAGCTTCAGCATAGTTGCAGGTTACAAAATAAACCCCTCAAAAATCAACAGCATTTCTAAATAATCATTAATAATAATAATGATAACAAAACCCAAGAAGCAAAAATAGAAAGGGAAATCCCACTCCAAAGAACTACAAAATTAATAAAATATCTGGGGGTCAACCTCCCAAAGCACACAAAAGACTTGTATAGATTCAATTACAAAGCACTCTTTAAAGAAATAAAGAACAACTTAAATAGTTGGAAGAATATTCAGTGCTCATGGTGAGGCTATGCCAAATAATAAAAATGAAATACTTCCAAAATTAACTTACAGTTTTAATGCCTTACCAATAGAATTACAAAGGGATACTTTATAGAACTTGATAAAATAATAACAAAATTCATTTGGAAAAATTAAAAAAAATGTAGAATATCAAGAGAAATGACAAAAAGAAGTAGAGATGAGGGGGGAATAGCACTTCCAGAGCTCAAACTATTATAAAACCACAATCATCAAAACCATTTGGTATCGGTTAGAAAAATAGATCAATGGAACAGAACAGACAAAGGAGAATTAAAAACAATGGAAACCAGTAACCCAGTGCTTGATAAAGTAGAAAACATAAATTATTGGATAAAAACTGCTAGGAAAGCAGTCTGACTTTCCATTTTAAGCCTAGACCAACATCTTATACCACACTCCACAATATATTTTATTTTTTAAAATAATATTTTATTTTTTCCCAATTACATGTAAAGACAATTTTAACAATCTTTTTTAAAATTTTGAGTCCCAAATTTTCTCCCTCCTTCTTTCATCTCCCCCCTTTCTGAGATAGTAAGCAATTTGATATAGGTTATACATGTTCAGTCATGTAAAACATATTTCTATATTAGTCATGTTGTGAAAGAAGACAGAGACGCAAAGGGGAAAAAAAGCCCATAAAAAAATAAAGTGAAAACCAGTATGCTTCGATCTGCATTCAGACTCCATCAGTCCTTTCTCTGGAGATGAATAGCGTTTTTCATCATGAGTCCTTTAGAATTGTCTTGGATTATTGTTCCACAATATATTCTAAATGGATACATTACTTTGATATTAGTGATCACACCATAAAAAAAATTAGAAGAGGCACAGATCATATACGTCTCACAGCTATGGCTAGGAGAGGTATTCTTAATCAAACAAGAGATAGAGGCAATAACAAAAGATAAAAATACATAACTTTTTTTTTACATGAAACAGAAAAGCTTTCACACAGATAAATGCACCAAGCATAAAGAGGGAAGTGATCTAATGGGGGAAAAAAATCTTTGCATCAAATTTCTGTGATTAAGTTTTGGCATCCAAGAGATAGAAACAATGTGTGTGTGTGTGTGTGTGTGTGTGTGTGTGTAATTAATAACCATTCTCCAAAAGGTAAGTGGTCAAAGGATATGAACAGACAGTTCTCAAAAGAATTGCAAAGTGTTCACAACCACGTGAAAAAAAATGCTCCACATCACTAACAATAAGACAAATACAAATCAAAACAGCCCTGAGGTTTCACCTCACACCCTGGAAATTGGCAAAGATGACAAAAAATGTAATACTTAGTGTTGGAAGGGTTGTGGGATGGTAAAATGGTATAACCATTTTGGAAAGCAATTTGGAATTATGTAATATGTATTATTACATACGGAAATATGTAATAAAGTGATTAAAATGTTCAACGCTTTGACTCAAAGACCCCTTTATTGGGCTTATACCCCAAGAAGACCTCTGATAGGAAGAAAATCACCATGTACTCTGAAATAATTATAGCAGCACTTTTTGTGGCAACAAAGAATTGGAAATAATATAGATGTCCATTGATTGGGGAATAGCCAAACAAAATATAGTACAGCTATGGTGTAAAAAATGATGTGTGATAGATACAGAGAAGCATGGAAAGATTTACATGAACTGATACAGAGTAAAGTAAGCAGAGTCACAAAAGCAATATTCATAATAATTACAACAACGTAACTGGAAAGATCAACCACATGGTAAAAAAAAATAAAAAATGACTATAATAAAATTATAAAGCTCACAAAGGACTCAAATGAAGAGATATGAAAAAACACTCCTAATCCATCCCTTCATAGAGATGGGAGGTCCACAGGTGTTGCATACCGCACATTTTCAGACTTTTTCAGTGTATTGACCAGCTGGGCTGATTTTTTTTCCTCTTTAATAAAATACCATTTGTTATATAAGATGTCTCTCTGAGAGCAAAAGGGAAGCATACACAGGATAACCAATGATGTAAGAAACAGATGACACTGATACAGACTTATTTTAAAATTTAAAAATACTTTGCAAACCTTTAAAAAAAATTATATGATATGATATGATATGATATGATCCATATTTTTATGACTTTTTGGCATTGCCAAGATATAAAATAAAATATATGAGAAAAGAAGTTAATAACCTCTAGAAGGGTATATTGATCTCACATCCTACTCTGTAACCTCTGTCTGTTTCTCAACATGGCAGGATGGGGAGGCATGCAACTACAAGCTCACCTGAAGCTAGCGTCTATTCCTAAGCTCTATTTAAAGCTTTTGAATCACATGGCACTCAATACACAGCAGCGTTAGAACCTTAGGCAGGTAACTTGCTTTTTCAGTTCAAGAGAGCCCTCCAGGCTTCTGAAACATCCAGAGAGGGTGTGGCTTCTGCTTAGGTTGAAAGCCAACTGGGGCAAAGACTGAAAGAACCGGTTGGAAAGGGACTGGCTGGATAGGAAGATGACTCTCCATTTTGGCATTAGCCAGGTGCCCTAGGACAACAGGAAGAGGAGGCTGGAGAGCACATGGAGTGGCGTGAGAAGAATGACTGGCAATTCTAGACTAGAAGCAGTCATCTGCAAAAGCAGCCTACATAGCATAAAGATGTTTAGAAATAATCCTTGGAGTTAAAGAAATCTGAGAAAGAGAAACTGCCCTCTTATGCCTCAAGAATTTGGAAAAGACCTATCAGAAGGGACGTTTTTCCTCCCCAAGAATCTTTAAGGTAATTGATACCTTATTTCATTCACCTGTGAAAAGTCTGTGTACTTTATTTCTGTGAAGCACTTATTTTTGGCTTTGGACTGAGACTACTCAAGGGTGTGTGTGTGTGTGTGTGTGTGTGTGTGTGTGTGTGTGCACGCGTGTGTGTGTTGTAGATGAAATAACAACGCTGAGGATTGGTTGGCTAGGGGAACCATCACATGAGTTGTTCTTTTTCAACTGGATAAATGAGATTCTTTGGAGTTTGAGCAATAGGTTTATATCAGTGATTATGCGTAGAAATTTAAGATCGCCTAAATCTGAATAAAATCAGTCAGGATTCCTTTTGCAGTTTATTAATCTTGAACAAACGGTAGGAGTTCTTGTCATAGTATTGAGGGAAGTCCAATGAAAAAATGTATTTATTTTTCTTTGCGTACAACTGAACATATGTCATTTGTGATCATTATCAATCATTGAAATTCCTAGTTTCCGAAGAGATCTGGAAGCATAAAGAGATGAAAAAAATAATACTCCGGTGAAGATACTGATTATGGTATGATTATGGTATATGAAGATGTTAAAGTTTCTGAGAGGCAGGTGGAAGAAAGCTTCTGCTCTTCTTCCTGGTGGAATTGGGAAAATATGGGTACAAACTGTGTCATATAGATGATTAAGATTGTGGAGTTTTGTCCATAGATTTTTTTGTCTTTGATTTGGTCATCTTTCTTTTTTTGAACTAGAGTTAACCTTCCTTTCTAGGTAGGTAACACAGTGTTCTGTGCTTGGAGTCAGGAAGATGAGTTCAAATCCAGCCTCAGGCACTCACTAGCTGTATAACCCTGGGCAAGTCACATCATCTTTGTCTGCCTCTATCTATTATACCATCTAGTAGCGTCCTAGAGTTGAGTAGGGAATACATCCATCTGGAAACTTTTTGTTGTATTAGATAGAAAAATGATGTAGAGGAAAGATTAATGGGTTTCTAGTCAGAGGACTTAGCACATTTTAGCTCTTTCATTTACTCCCTGGGTAACATTGGGTGAGTCATTACACTTCTCTGGGTCTCAGTTTCCTTATCTGTAAAATGATGGTAGCGGAATGTAGTTTGTGTTACAGTCCTTTTTCAATCATGAGGTTTTCTTGGCAAAGATAGTGGACTAGTTTGCCATTTCCTTCTCCAGCTCATTTAAGAGATGAGGAAACAAAGGCAAACAGGGTTAAGTGACTTGCCCAGGGTCATACACCTATTAAGTGTCTGAGGCTGGATTTGAACTCGTGGAGATATGTCTTCCTGACTTCAGGCCCGGTGCTCTAGCCATTGTCCCACCAGTATCTGCCCCATGGCATAGATGCATCTAAAGAGTGGAATAGATGCATCTAACATCCCTTCTAGCTCTAAATTTATGATTCTATGATCCATAAAATACCAATGACTGAATTCCAGCAAGGAGTGAATTAGCATGACTTTTGCTGGCAGTAGTACAAAAAATGGGAAGACTCATATCTTTTCTTCTCAGATGATAATGAAGCTTTAATACAAAAGACATTAGTTTGTTAGTGGTTTGGAACAGATGAGGTGATATATAAGGACAAAAATGATAGAATATGGGGACAGGATTTGTCCATGCAAAACAAAAGAAATATTGATGTCAGGTTGGTTGCTTGCCCGGGGATAGCATGCAATCATCTGCCCGTTTCAGGAGAGCAAGAAAAGGATTCTTTCCTGAAGATATTAATAATAAAAACACTCTAGTGTTTTAAAGTTTACAAGGTAGATAGAGGTAGATAGAGATTATAACATCATTTCCATTAAACCAATGATAGGAAACTGAGCCTAGGACAGGTGAAATGATTTGCCCAAGATCACAGAGATAAAAGATATATAACTAACATGGAGTGAATGGGGCTTTGCCTAAAGGACACTGAAATTTGGTGGGAGTATGCTTCTTCCCCAGGAAGGTAAGATCCTTCCTTGTAGTGACCATCATCCGTGTGCTTCACCTAAAGTTCCTTTGCTGATACATGTTGGCCAAGTAGTGCAACAACCCTCAGCATCTCACCACTGCAGCACCCTCCAGCAGGGCTTGCATGCCCCCAATTCCTCAGGGTGGGGTAAGAGATGGACTATTTCTTCAATTGGGCTATACTTCATTTTGTCTCCCAGGACAAAAAAAAATTTTTTTTGTCCCAGGTGAAAACATTCCAAGTCTGCATTAAGAATCTCTTGATTCCAAGTCAGAATAATGCTTTTTATACCTTAAAGTAGGAGCACCTAGGTGGTATAGTAGCTAGAATGCCGGGTCTGGAGTCAGGAAGACTCTTCTTCCTGAATTCACATCTAGCCTTAGACACTTACTAACTGTGTGACCCTGTGCAAGTCACTTAACCATTTGCCTCAGTTTCCTCATCTGTAAAAGGAACTGGAGAAGGAAATGGCAAGCCATTCTAATGTCTTTGCAAGTACACCCCAAATGGAGTCACAAAGAGTCAGACACAACTGAAAAAAGGCTTAACTGAATACCTTAAAGTATTATATAAATGTCAAGTATTATTATCAATGTTGTTATTAAATACAATACTCTATAACATACCATGCTTTTTTTGGATGATGATGGTGATTCTAGGACAGGTAACTGTTAGCCCAGTATTGCTTGGTTGAGGCCACAGAGACTGTTGACCTTTAACAATCCTTATCCTTTTTCTGTCCTCATAGTTTCCCTTGAGTAATTGTTGTGGGGTTGTCTGTACAGCTAAGTCATATTTAACTCGAGTTCAAATAATGTGAAATTCAGTTTTGTGCAAATTTTAAACTGATCCTAGGTTTAGTTCATGAGAACCAAAATTCAATCAATGAAACCCATGCAAGCTAGGAAAGTGTTTTCACATGCTACTATGTCGTCAGTCTACACTTGCCTGTGAGGGCAGCTAGATGGCTCAGTGGATAGAGTGCTAGTCCTGGAGTCAGGAAGACTCTTCTTATTGAGTTCAAATCTAGTCTTAGATACTTATTAGCTTTGTGACCCTGTGCAAGGCACTTAACCCTGTTTGCCTCAGTTTCCTCATCTGTAAAATGTACTGGAGAAGGAAATGAAAAACCACTGCAGTATCTTTGCCAAAGGGAATCACAAAGAATTGGACATGACTGAAAAACAACTAAAGAACACTATAACTCACCTATTATTTCATATGGATGCGATATTCTTCTGTGTGCTATATATCACCAACAGTTGTGTTCATTTTTTTTAAAAGCCACTCGGTCCGTAAGACTAGCTATGTTCCTGGTAACCCTTTTTAAAAATTGAAACAATCTTTAAGCAGTCTTTAAAGGCAGCTTTGAGTAGTGTGTATGACCTCTGGAAGTAGAAAGGACAGTCTACTGTGGATTCAAGAGATAGTTAGCCGTGGCAGTAGGGAGTTGAGTTTCCAGAGGTCTAGGGAATCTAATTGAGCAAATTATCCAGGAGAGACGTTGTGATTGGTGGGGTAGCAGAATAAGGACTCTCCAAGAAATCAAAAGGGGGCCCTGAAATGCGGGAGGTGTAAACTGCCTTGGTCACATGCGTTTCATGTGTGTATGCCTCTCTACAGATGTGTATGTATTCTCTATATCTGGCCACTCTTCCCACTGATATTGTGGAGAATATAGGACAATGTGGTGACATTGTGGACATAGTCGTAGAGTATGCTCTAGATTTACAATGGTATGTTTTGTCACCTTTTGCTTTGTGTTTCTTTGCTTAAGGGTAATCACGCTGGTGGCAATTCCTGAGCTATGTTTTTAGGAGTGTGGACCCACAAAATATCTTTAATCAATGGTAGCTCTCCCCCAGGAATTCAAAATGCAAGTGTGAGTTAGGGGTGGGGGACAAGCCAGTGGGAGTTATATATGTGTAATCAATTTTGATCACTAAGTCTGGACCCCTTAAGGAAAATTCTTCTGTTTTTCCTAGTGGTAATGACCTGATCCTGATTTGCCATCAACATTCTTCCATTCCTACAAATAAATGTACATGACTCAGATGTTTATTTGAAATTCCTTTATTCTCATATCATTGATTGGGTTCACACAGATGTTGTCCACCTTATTTTTTATACATTCTTAGATTTTAGCCATTTCTTAGGCTTTCTCAACAACTTTTGGTTTTATCCAAAGAAAGCCAATGGTTTGTAGTTATTATCTGCTTTTACTGTTGCTCCGTAAAAGATTGTCTGCTTGCTGCAAGAAGTATTTCTGCAGTTTTTTTTTTTTACCTTTTATCGTGTGATTTTAGAAAGTCAATCAATCTTCCTCCTTTTTCAGAAGTGCTAATCTTCCTATAGGTGTGGTAGACCTTGTATTTGTTAATAACTGTACAGGTTTTTGCTAGGATAATTTCTGATTCTGTTATGGTCTATTTTACACTTCTGAAAGTATAACTCTAAGTCTGCCATTACATAGGTGTTTATTGCTTTAAATGTCTTCCCATTCAACTTTGATTTCTGGGTGACAGTAAGTCTCTTAATGTCTTCAGCCCAGCCTTCCCTTTGATATCTTTATTAGGCTTGATGAGTCTTGCCCAGAGGAGACCAACTCATTTGTAGGTACCTCTTTAAACTAGTTCAATGTGACCTCCAGATTCAAGCTTGGAGTCTTTAGTCTCTGTCTTTCCTTCGATTATGTTAAAACTTTTACACATCTCAAATCCAAATGACATTTTGATATATTTGGAGAAAGATTTCATGAGATGAAGGAGATGTTTTATGTGTTTTTCAGTGGAGCCCTATTTAACTCAATACTGTGCTGTCTCCACCGCTGGAATGATCTTTTACTCCTCTATCTGTATCCCCAGTGCTTAGCATAGCGTTTTGCACGTAATAGGCACTTAGTAAAATTTCTTCCCTGTTCAAAACAGAATTCAGCTTTTCCCCGAAACTTTGCCTCTCGAGCATCCCTATTTCTGTTAAGAGCTCTATCTTCCAGTCACCTGGGTTTGAATCCTCAGTCATCCTCAGCTCTTCCTTTCCCTCCTCCCTTGCTGC